GAGGAGAGGGCCAGAGTGAGAGAGGAGAGAGCGAGGGAGGAGAGAGAGAGAGGGGGAAGGAGAGAGATGCGGAGAGAGAGGAGAGAGAGGGCAGAGTGAGACGAGCGAGGAGAGGAGAGAGGTAGCGAGAGAGGCAGAGTGAGAGAGGAGAGAGAGGGAGAGGCGAGAGAGAGATGGGAGGAAGAGAGGCGCGAGAGAGAGCGACGAGAGTGAGAGGGCAGAGTGAGAGCGAGAGAGAGAGAGACGAGGTGAGAGAGAGGGCAGACGGAGAGAGATTGAGAGGAGATGTTGAGAGAGAGAGGGGGGGAAGTGAGGAGAGAGAGAGAGAGAGAGAGAGAGAGAGGGCAGATAAGCGAGGAGAGAGAGAGAGGAGATGGGAGAGAGAGAGGTGGAGAGGGGAGGGAAGAGAGAGAGAGAGAGAGGGTCGACGAAAGAGAGAGGGAGGGGAGAGAGAGCGAGGGAGCGAGAGAGAAGATGTGGGAGTTATCCAATATGGAACTTTGCCAGCACTGTCTGTAGCATCAGATGTTTTGATAAAGTCTATTCATGATGAACAAAATAATTGGTTTAAAATAATTAACTTATTCACTGCTCCATTAGTAAACAATGTTTTTTTTTGTTTACAAATGGAAACCAATACATTTCCAGTATAGACCTCTTCACTTCTCCCCAAAGCCTCATGAATCATTATTAAAAATCAACATCGATCCTAATCCTTTTGCTATCTGGGTATCGTTTTTATGTTTAGCTATTTCTGTAAGATGGTGGCACGTGTTAGATTATGATTGTATAAGAAATGCATCGACAATTAAATTACACGTGGAAAATACGTGTTTGAACTTGTTTTTATTATGTGTTTCTTATTTACTCAGACTGACCACTAGGGGACAGCAACGTCACGTGGTTACATCCTCTTCCTTGTCAATCCCAATGGTGTTAAATGTGTCCTTTAAAGTCTTTAAAGGTTGTATTTCCGCTACGATTTAGTCTGGTACCGTATCCAAGCAACCTACTCACAACAAACCAGTATCGGGGAAAATTCCTTGGTAACCATGGCTTCCAAGACACACAACTGGCCTGGGTAGAATGCTGGGCCGAGCAAGTACTAAAAAAGTAGTATTAGTTAAACATGGCAGACAGAATGTGCAATAGATAACCAGATTTACTGAGATTTTATTCTTAATTCTGTCTTCTTTAATTTGCTATTTTTGGACATTTAGGATTCGCTTCATTAAAATGCTAAAGCGAGAAATTTAAGCATATAGTTATTGTTCATTTATCTCCTTTATCTTTACTCCTCATTCCTTCTGTGATGCAGACACTGTGGGAAGACTCTTTTCCCACTCTTTTTAATATTTGTTTTTAACAGCGTCATGAAGGTCTGCAGTCTGTGTGTTATTGGAGTAATTGGTGTCCGACCCTTGACCTCTGCTCCTCACAGTCCAGAGTCTAAACACAGTCAGGGCTGAGTCTGAGCGGCTCTGACGGCTCCACATCTGGAAACAAAAGAAGTCTGAGTGATCCTGAGTCCGAGACCACGGAGACGGTTTGAGATTGTATTTGGTCGGAGTGGATAGAAAATAAACATTAAATAACATGTATGTTGTAGTAACGCGAGCGAATCCCACTCAGACTGAGCCTTATACAGGTTTAGACTCTGGACTTTTCCCCCCGTGTGGATCCAGGACAACAGTGAGAAATGGAGGCGTGTTGTTTTGACTCATGTTGGATTCTCACCACATGGAAAACAGGAACATGTCAAAATAGTCAACACAAACTTTTGATTTTCTAATTAAGTCACAGCGCTGTGATCCGGACAACTGCAATTTTATCATTCATGTGGAGCAAAATGATTATTTATACATATTTTTTTTTTAACCAGAACAACTTTTTTAAAGAAGCTATACCCGATTTATTTTCTAAAGAGTTCATAAAAAAGCTTATCACTACATACAAATTGTATTATAATCTGTAATTTAATGTAAAATTTGATCTCATTCAGCTGTGTATGAACTCAGTAAAAAGTGCTGAGTAGAGACTTAGCGTGACGCCCGCTCTCCTCCAATCTCAGAGCGAGGCTGCGTCCTCTAGCCTCTACAGCGATGCTAAACACAGTAGCATGTTAGCATAAGTGGCTATAACTCCTCTGGCTGTAACTGCAGACTCAGCAAAACAGCCCAAACCACACAACAGTGAGGAAGAGAAGAGGAACTAAAGCCACAACATGATCAAAGAAGAAACCAAGCCCTGAACAGAGCTAGCTTACATCGTATCCTCTGGAGAGACTGGTCTATGGGAGAGACCTGCGGGACCGCCTCGGACTATCTACGCTCGGACTATCTACGCTCGGACTATCTACGCTCGGACTATCTACGCTCGGACTATCTACGCTCGGACTATCTACGCTCGGACTATCTACGCTCGGACTATCTACGCTCGGACTATCTGCGCTCAGACTATCTACGCTCGGACTATCTACGCTCGGACTATCTACGCTCGGACTATCTACGCTCGGACTATCTACGCTCGGACTATCTACGCTCGGACTATCTACGCTCGGACTATCTACGCTCGGACTGTCTACGCTCGGACTATCTGCGCTCGGACTATCTACGCTCGGACTATCTACGCTCGGACTATCTACGCTCGGACTATCTACGCTCGGACTATCTACGCTCGGACTATCTACGCTCGGACTATCTACGCTCGGACTATCTACGCTCGGACTATCTACGCTCGGACTATCTACGCTCGGACTATCTACGCTCGGACTGTCTACGCTCGGACTATCTGCGCTCGGACTATCTACGCTCGGACTATCTACGCTCGGACTATCTACGCTCGGACTATCTACGCTCGGACTATCTACGCTCGGACTATCTACGCTCGGACTGTCTACGCTCGGACTATCTGCGCTCGGACTATCTACGCTCGGACTATCTACGCTCGGACTATCTACGCTCGGACTATCTACGCTCGGACTATCTACGCTCGGACTATCTAGCAGCAGGCCCAAAACCTTTAAAAGAAACATTTGGTTTGGTTCATTAAACAAATTCATATAAATGTCTACTTCTTTCTCCTTTGGCCTACAGTGTGCTACAGTGTGACTAATGCATTCTGGGGAAGGGCGCGCGGAGGCTCATAAGTCAGGCCCCCACACTGTCCCAGGGGCCACAGGGACTGGCCCCCCACGTAGACCCTGGGATATGTCAGTAATCTGTATTTATTTAGTTTCACAGAGTCACAAAGTGGTTTACAACTGTCTCTGGATCAGCTCTTTGTGCAGCAACTGTGGTCCTCCCATTCTCACGGGCCCCTGATCCACACGGGCCCCTGATCCACGCGGGCCCCTGATCCACACGGGCCCCTGATCCACACGGGCCCCTGATCCACACGGGCCCCTGATCCACACGGGCCCCTGATCCACACTAGTCCCTGATCCACACGGGCCCCTGATCCACTCTAGTCCCTGATCCACACGGGCCCCTGATCCACACTAGTCCCTGATCCACACGGGCCCCTGATCCACACTAGTCCCTGATCCACACGGGCCCCTGATCCACTCTAGTCCCTGATCCACACGGGCCCCTGATCCACACTAGTCCCTGATCCACACGGGCCCCTGATCCACACTAGTCCCTGATCCACACGGGCCCCTGATCCACACTAGTCCCTGATCCACACGGGCCCCTGATCCACACTAGTCCCTGATCCACACGGGCCCCTGATCCACACTAGTCCCTGGGCGGCACGGTGTGAATTTTTGAAGTCACTCGTTCAAATGAATGGGGCTCGTGCAGCTGACGCATGCGCAGATGCGTTTTTTCACAATTTTCTTGAGGGCGGGACCACTCACGGCCATTTTGGATTGTTCCAGTGGAGTTTACACACACTTTACACACACTTTACACACACTCTACAAACACTTTACACACACTTTACACACACTTTACACACACTTTACAAACACTTTACACACACTTTACAAACACTTTACACACACTTTACACGCACTTTACACACACTTTACAAACACTTTACACACACTTTACACGCACTTTACACACACTTTACACACACTTTACACACACTTTACACACACTTTACAGAACATGATTAGAAAAAAAAAAAAAAGAAATATCACAGCACATTATTCATGATGTCATACTGGTGACATCAATAGTCACCGTCTATTGTTTTTATTTCTGTATATGTATATAATTATTTTCTTTATATTTTGTTGTCTTTGTTTTCTCTGCTTTGTTGTACACTATTTTATACTTTCCGTTATTAAATATGATTTTGGACATGGGGAGGACAGTGGAAAAATAAAATAAAATAAAATGTGTCTTTTATGCTGAATGTAAAATGAAAAAGTGAGAATTAATGAACATGACTCGAAAAAGTAACAAAACAAAAGACGCATAAAAATAATAATCTCTGTACATTAAAGTGGCCCGACAAAGACCACTTCAGTCCAGACTTGTCCAGGGGCTGCCACACTCATTTGGGACTGGATTGAAGCAGTTTAGCCGGAGCACTTCCATGTCTCAGTCATCCAGACTTAGATACAAGAACTTATTTTCAAGATTCAACAATTTATGTGCCATTTGCAGTAAAACCACAGTGGAAAAACTGTGCAAGACCAGATTTAGAAGCAAATAATGCAAGTTACGAACTATTATCTCACAAAAACCTGATTGAAAACACTCAGTTAATGTGAGGAAAACAGACATTTACAGTTTTTAGAGTGTACAGCCTGGTTACATTTGCACATGGGCACTTAATCCACTTTTTCAAAACCAAAGACTTCTCACACTCCGGTTTGTATGGGACTGGAAAAGGGTAAGACGGGGGAGGGGGCAGGAGGGAGGGGGGCAGTTCCTTTCACTTCTCAGTTTGTCTCAACAATAGTCTTTGTCCGAGATCTTCCAGCATTATTATTAGCGCTACTGAACAGCGGCGGGAGGGTGTAGGGGGTGGCAGGGGGCGAGAACATGGGCTGCGTCACCATGGCAACGATGACAAAACAGAGGCCGTCCCGCACTGGCCACAGGACCAGGCAGCTGCGAGGACGTGAGAGAAGCTTTTGGAGCAGCATGGACCGGGACAGCCACAGCGAAGACAGCCTCTCCACTCTGATGTTGGACAGTATCAAAACCAGGCTCATACAGGCCTTCAGAGCGGCCGGGGAGGGGGGCTGTCAGAGAGCGGGACGTCCCATCAGCATCGGACCCAGTCTGCAGGCCAACGAGGAGCTGAGGAGGGCGCAGATAGACGGGGCCATCACCTGGATCCGGTCTGAGCTGGTGAGTGCTGATGTGGGGTTAATGTGGGGGAGTAAATATTGTCAGGATTAAGATTAAGAAACACTTGATTGGTCCCACAGTGATGTCGCTGCACAAGTTACTGAACAGTCGGAAAGAGGAGAACTTGGCACAAGAGAAGTGATCATCTTGTTTTGTGTATTTTTTTGTATTGAGCACTACTCGATACAAAAAATATCTTAAGCTTTATAACAAAACAAAGTATAAACATTTACAGTATAAATCTGTTGATGCCACAGGTGGAAAAGAGGTTTAAAAGAAACCACTGGATTATAAAACACATAAAACCCACGTCCCATTTTGCACCGACATCTTCTCTGCAGAGGGTCGGGAACCTTTTCTGCCGAGAGAGCCAAAAAAGTCTCCTACATAAAAGTGATGAACAAATTTAGAATGAGATATTAGTCTCAGAATGTATTATTTTGTTTAATATCTTTTTTATACTGAAGAAATCCACTGCATAAAACATTCTGAATGTAATAAAATGTACCAAATCATCTAAATTCAACTTGTAATGAAAACAGTTAAATGTGAACGAGTGGATGAAGTGATTTTGTAGCATGTCATTTGTAAAGCACAGTTCATACAAAGTCAAAATGCTGAACAAAACAGAAACATTGCAATCCTAAATAATCACAGTCCGTTAAAAAGAGTGAAGACACAATCCTTCAGGTGTCGCAGCGAAACAGACCTGTGGATCCAAGTCACAAACACAGTCTCTCTGCGATGCCACTGCTTCAGATGCAGTTGTTGATGTTGTGTCTTGTGGCTTCTCAGTCGGAGATGAGGTCCCAGGACCTGCAGTTGGCCCAGACTCTGCTGGGACTGAACAGCGAGATCCAGCGGCTGCGGAGGGAGAGCTTTGGAGGCTCCGACATCGACGAGCAGCCGTAAAAACACCAGAAGAACACCGACTTTTTACCCTCTGCAGGCGGTGAACGTTTGCAACATCATTTCTTATTCCCAAACTACTCCACATCCATATTTATCTTTTACAGTTTTTTTACTCAGAAGTACCACTGCTGGACTGAGCTTTAGAATCACACAGTTTTCCACCTGCTCACTAGGGGGCGCTGCTGTCTCACTTCCAAAATGTCAGTCTCCGCAGTTTCACCGAAGCAGATTTTCCAGCCAGTGACCAACCTCTGAAAATGTGAAAACTGTATCAAATGAAAGATGAATGTTTATAGATACAGTACAGACCAATTAGATTCTATCTCCTCTATTTTTTTTCTCCTGTGGTCAGATCAAGCCCCGGCGATCCAAGATGGCGCCTTATTCAAATGAATGGTTTGTGTTCAGTGGCGCATGTGCCGGCACGGTCGCTGACATATTAGCGGAACTCGCCTGTATTTGGACATTGTCTGGTCCTCCCGGTTCTGTGCAGTGGACGAGCTCCCATGATGCGCCAAATGCGCATGTCTGGCTCTCATGCACGGCCACGCTCTGACCAATCAGAGCTGCGGATCAGAGCAGTGGTAGAGCGGAGTCAGAGCAGGAGCCAGACGGGCAGAGATTGTGGCAGTAAAATGTAGATTTAAAGAAAACCGAAGGATTTAAGAAGAAAAATATTCAGGATGACAAGGGACACTAAAATCTCCACAAAATCCGACCTTTATGAAAGCTGTAGGTTCTCTGTCAGGTTCTCTGTCAGCTGAAGTTGTGCTGTTTTAGTTTACATTGAGTTCTATGGGGAAAGTTTCTGTGTAGCCCACGTGAATTTAGTCTGGTTTAGTCTGCAGTACCGCGAGAATGCCCCGAGCACATGGTTCTTCAGCTCCAAGCAAGTAACACCATATCCAGTTATTATCATAGATCCAAGGGTCAGCTCTGTTTACCACAGCGGACCAATGTTGCAAATCTGCTAAATCCCAGAATGCATTGCCTGTGAAGGTCTCTCTCGAAATAAGTCAGGATTGTATATTACTTACCTCTGAATATGACAATGTCCCCAAACACCAGGTCATTCCTGTCGTTCAAAGGTATTGGCGCTGAGGGCAGTGTTTGTGTGTTTGCAGCAGCAGAAGCAGCACTGACACGGTTTCTTTCACTGAACCAAAACAATGGACGGTTTATGTCTGAGAGAGTGACGCCAGATCTTGCGTCGCTGCTGCTGTTGCTGAAAACCTCATGTTTGTAGATATCGTTTTGTCCAAAGAGATTGTAAAATGAAGTATTAATATTGAACAACATTTGCAGTATTTTAAAAAGCCACTGGGGGCAATAGCAACTTCCTCTTTGTGTTTTAAAATATGAGTCCATCTCTCTGCAAATAAATAAATAAATAAATCTGTTGGTTTTATTACAAATGTATGTAAGAAAAATAAACATATTTTTTCAGTCGATGGTCAAGTCTGTTTGTTATTGCAACGGAACTGTCTGTGCTGCGAGTTCCATCAGACAAATCATGTTTTTAATCTTATGCTGTGAGGAAATCATTGTGTTTCTAAGGACAGTGAAGATACAAGATATTCATGAACATTAATCAACATTTATTAACATTTATTAACATTGGTCGTCCGCTCCCTGTGGACCAGCAGCTTCTTTAAGTCTGTTATGATTGCATTTCCTCTGCTCTTGGTGAATCGACTTTGTAAAGTTCTGGGACGACTGCTGCTGTGATTTAGGTCTATTCAAAAATACATTGAATTGAAATTGAATTGACTTTTTTATTGTAATAATGTTTGTATAAATAAAGCAATACCGGAAAATGTGAAATAACTGAAAGCACAAAAGTGTTTTTAATGACATTCAGCAACAACAAACTTTTATATTTACTTTTCTATGATCCACTTTTGAGCAGATTCCACATTCAACTCTGCATTTGTTTTAAAACAGTCTTTGCATATTGTCGACAGATTCTTCAGGAGAATAAAAACCTCTTTCTCTGTGTTCAGGCTCCTTATGTAAATCCAGAGCAAATATAAAAATATCAAAGTCCTATAATGACACATGCAGATTTGAACACGCTTTGAAATGTTGAGAAAATCTTAGTAAAACAGCACAGAACACACAGAAGACATAGTTATCATTTGGCTTTAAAGCTGGAGTACCGGGTATGTCCAGTAGGAGGAGACCAGGGGAAGGCCCAGGCCAGGACACGATGGAGGGACTGTCTCTCTGCTGGGGACGCCTCAGGATTCCCCCAGATGAGCTGGAGGCAGTGTGTGTGGAGAGAGAATCTGGGCGTCTCTGCTCAGACTGCTGCCCCCACCACCCGGCAATGGATAAAGCGGAAGAAAATGGACGGATGGAGTATCTTAACTGTTCCTCTTCGTAGATATTTCATGATGTTTGTCCCAAAAGAGTCAAACCACAACATTCTGTCCTAATCTTATAAAAAATTGTTTTGCCGCTTTACTCTACTTTAGACTCCGGGAGTCACTTATAGACGCTTTGGGCTGAGAGCTGATTGGCTGATCCAGAATGGACTTCTGTTTTTCACTTTTCTGCATGAATCTGTGACAGAGACCACGTGAAAACTAGTCCAAACTGTTTTGAGAGCGAGCTACATGGATTTAGGTACCCCAGCTTTAAGTATCAGTTTGATAAGAAGACGCTTCATATACAGCAATAATCTCACCTGGCAAAAAACACTACATTTTAATGACAAAATATCAAACTTTATTCTTCTGTTCATTACATTTTGGCCGTTAAAGCCTTCGTCAAATGTTTTCTTTACATCTTTTTAACCTTCACCAAAAAATATTATGAAGTCGACGTAAAATAACAGTATACAGGACTTTGAAATCCCTTGTCACATACGATAATACAATAAGCTTCATATTTGTAGTATATTTCAGCCTCATACGGCCATAACACAATAACACAGCCATGAGAAGCCATTTGTCTTTATTTCTGACAGACACAATTAAATGTGGTGGACTTTCTCTCTGAAAATTCACTTCTATTGTTGATAAATAGATAAAACGCTGTAAAAGAGACAAATATGGACTTTCTAAACAAAAGCTCTGTGCATCATTTAACAAGAGAACAATGTTAAACAAAACAAGATTGAATTGTGTCTAATATTTGTAATTGGAAAATTTGCAAAAAAAGTTGGATTAAATCTACTCTGGTTTTATCCATCCGTACTCTCAGGTCCATCATCATGTCCTGCCTGTAACGTCTGGGTCTGGTCCCTGTGTTAACAAATACATCGGGTGAATTCCATCCGACCAATCAGAGAGCGCGGGAGGCGGGTGTTGTAGTTAGTTGTGGGAGACGTCAAGAGTTTGCGTCGAACGGGCAGGTTGTAGTTTGGTGAAGAATGTGATAGTAAAGTATTCTGGTCTGGTTCTATCAAGAAACTGAAGCTGGAGCAAGAGGAATGTTTAGCAAATGTAAATGCTACAAAGATTGTAGCGCTACTCCCCACGGGCTCCGTTAGTGGCAAAGGAGATGGCTAAAGGCTAACGACTCACTTTACGTCACGGTAAACTCAGATCCAATCGTTCCAATCTGTAAAAGGGAGTTAACCCCTCCCACCTGTTAACAGAGTCAATGGAGCAAATCCAGACCTTAGAATGAAAGGTATTTTGTACTATGGTGTGGTACGACCAGGCTAGATTAAATGTGATTTTAGGGAGGAGTTTAATTTACATTTTCCTGGACACAAAGGAGTGACCTATTTTGGATCTTAAAATAGACAAATTATGCCTCACTACAAACAGACCTGGAGTTGGTTTTTGATCCATCCATGCTGATATCAGGAACATGTAGCTCCGCCCCTTCTGTCTGAAAGCTCCGGTCTCAGTCCTGCAAGGATGATGTCATTGTACCGCTATGACATCACACTCAGAGAAGTTTTCTGGCTTTTAAAACAAAAGTATTGTCCATGAATTGGTTTTGGCCATTTCTCTGTTGTTATGAGGGTCTTTGCAATCGCATGGCTGTGTTTGCAGCTGGTTATTCTCAAATTTGAACAATAACAGCCGGGACCCAGTTCATGACATTATGATATTGTTATGTTTTTATCTATTATCTTAAATAATAGATCCTGTTTGATGTTTGTATAATCTGCGTGCTCTTATATGCAAAGTTAGGGTTCTACTGCTCCCTCTGGTGGCAGCTTAGTGAGTTACAGGCAGAATGTGTTGTTTACCCGTCCGTTTTGTTTCCACATATATTTCCTGTTTCACGTCTCGGTCTTGTGAAGTTGGTTCCTTCTTCAGGGCACAGAGCTCCTCCTCACTCCTCTCTTCCGTGAGCGTTTGTACTTCCTCATGGGGGTTGCCAGATAAGACACTTCCCCTGAGCTGGAATACTGACTGCTGCTGTGGTCGCTGTCACTGTCCCACTCGCTGCCTTCCCTCTCCCCAGACGCCGCCTCCTCTTCCTCCTCCTCCTCCTCCTCCTCACGCAACTCCTGCTTCAGCTCCTGGATTCCCGAGTGCAGTTCCATCAGCTGTCGGATCAGGGCCTGGTCCTGGCAACGCATCTCCATCTGAAACACCATCCAAAATGTCCTGTCATTTGTGAATGTTCGGGGCGGCAAAGTCCATCTTCCACATTCAACTAGTCAATCAAGAAATGTTGTCTTATAATTATTGAAGGTTTATTTATAGAATTTTCCCAAATTTTAGGAAAGAACTGCCCTCTCCACTTTTTTAACAAAACTCTCTGGTCTTTTTCATAGACTGCAAATATCAACAGACGTAGTCATTCCTATCCCCGAAGTTCAAACTAATGTGCAGCCACTTTCGGCGTCTATGGGCAGTTTCAAAATGGCCGCGAGGGCTGGAAAATGTGAAAAAACACATTTGCGCATGTGTTAGCTCCATGAGCCTCTTAACGAATACGTTCTGAAGTCCACAGCGGCTTAACTAGACTGGTCCAAAAAATATATACACTCCCCTCAACATCGACAGGATCTGGAACAAAGCTTTGGACCAAGAGCCACTTTTGGACCAAGCCCCACTTTTGGACCAAGAGCCACGTTTGGACCAAGCCCCACTTTTGGACCAAGAGCCACTTTTGGACCAAGAGCCACTTTGGGACCAAGAGCCACTTTGGGACTAAGAGCCACTTTTGGACCAAGAGCCACTTTAGGACCAAGAGCCACTTTTGGACCAAGAGCCACTTTTGGACCAAGCCCCACTTTTGGACCAAGAGCCACGTTTGGACCAAGCCCCACTTTTGGACCAAGAGCCACTTTTGGACCAAGAGCCACTTTTGGACCAAGAGCCACTTTTGGACCATCCTGTAAAGCCCTTAGTTAAGAAGATGCTTTACATTAGCATTGGATATTTCTTATCCCGGGTCCACCCCCCACAGGCCCGGGGTGGTATTGCAGCATGTCAGCACACGTCATTTTGGACATTTTTGAGCTGGGACCCGCCCTCACTGGTCTTATTTGACGAGCATTTATCACCACAATGATTGACAACTGGGAGGACCAATAGTCTTGATGATCCACTTGGAAACGTACAAAACAAACACTTAACTTTGTAATCGTTTCTGGTCACGCTACTCCAAATTTGATGTCGAGTTTTTTTTTTCTAGCACTTGATCTTCACTTGTTTTTACCAATCCAATCAGACTTTTCTTTATCAAATATTAGGTCTGAACAGTATATATAAGAAAGACGATACATAACACATGCATTCATTTTCTGTGTTGTATAATTGAGAGAAGAAACATCTCAAAGTGAGGAATGACCAGAGAGAGTCCAGTCACAGCAGGAGTCTTATGCAAACACACATTCATCGTTAACTTCTGTCTCTCAATGACGGCCGGTCTCATCGCGGCTGTTGCATAATCAGAAGTTCCAAGTGAGTTTGAGAACGTAGGAATGTCCTCAAACAAAACCTCCCTCGACTCATCTGCATTTCTATTCTCTGCATCTCCAGCTCTGTGCTCAGACCGAGGCCGAGCGGATTAAACAGATTTAAAAAGGAACTAGAAAGACATTAGAGTTTTGTGGGACTCGGAGACGCTTCGATGCTTATGAAATGATCTTTTATTTTTGAAATTCGAAATGGTCGACTTTTAGCTAAAATTCAAAGGTAGCCATTTTTGTTTGCTTGATAACCAACTTCCCATGACAGTTAAAGGTAGTAAGTAGTAAGTAATGTTTGATAATATTGCCCATTTTACAGTTCTGTTTCTATGAACTGTTGCTTCTGCTGCTTTAAAATGAGCAGGATGTAAATTATGTGTTATCCTCTGTACATATAATATATATATATATGAAAAAAAAAATTTATATATATATATATATATATGTATACGTATATATGTATATGTATTGTATATTGTAAAAAATATCTTGTTCCTTCTTCACTGTAAAGTCCTCGTCTGCATTTCTCTGTTGCTACGACACCGTCCACATGAATCCACTAAAGTGATTTACGATCCTCGGACAAAGTCTCAGACTCAGGGACAGCAGTTTAGGAACACTTTAACATGTGGCTAATACACAGATAACCTTTAGAAATAAACATCACACAAATGCAAAGATTGTGCTTTTTACACACATTTTATTCCATCAGTTTTTCCCCAAAATGAATGGATGTAAAATGGGGATAAATGTGGAGCGTGCTCGTGTCGTCATGGAGATGTGTTTTTAACTGGAGGAGGCCGGAAGTTTCTCTCAACCTCTTGTCCCATGTTTATGATTTATTTTTATTTTGGGGTTTGATTCCAGGTCCAGACAGAGCTGTTCTGAGTGGAAGTTGTATGTTCTCCCCGTGCCTGAGTAGGTTTCCTCCAGGTGCTCCACTTTCTATAGCTCCCCTCTCTCCTGGGACAGGAAAGGTCAGTAATATTTATTTAATTTTCTTTATTATTATTATTATTCTCTTTTATTTTATCTTATTTGATTGCATTTAATTATTATTATTTATTTAATTTCATTTTTCTATTTGTCTATTAATTATTAATTTAAGGTCAGTTAAGTGTTAAAGTATTATTTTTGTTCTCTGTGTGGAGCTACGGTTTGCCCCTTCACCTCCAAACATGCATCAGTAAACTCCGTTGCATTGGGCGATGGGTCAAATGCAGAGGACGACCTTAACCTTAACATCTACATCATCTAAAACAGCCATTCCCGAACTCAGTAACACCGAGGCCCCCTTAAAAATCTGACGGGTCTGCGTGGCCCCCCAAAATAATAACCAAGAAGACAACATTAAGAATAGGCTCTTCTGGTTATTTTATTTTGGGGAAATAGCCTCTGCTACAAACATTGTAATACAAAAATGATTACAGTGGATTATTCAAGTCAAATAATGAACACAAATATTTTAATATTACAAACAAAACATTATAAATTTAACATAATATATATAATAATAATTATATTATTTTTTTATTTTTGTTATGACCTCCCGCGGCCCCCCTGCAGTACCCTCGCGGCCCACCAGGGGGCCGCGGACCCCACTTTGGGAGACACTGATCTAAAACAATAACTTTTAAAAACTTGGGAAACATAGAGTTGTACTTTCTTTGGACATAATTGCAAACATCGTACTGTTTACATGCCTGAAGTATATAAACATGTGACATGAGTTTAATCGAATCATATGGACTTTAAAGATTTGTCATTAAATAACACAGATGTGTTTGAAACCTATTCCTCTCTCTGTAACTCAAACACACTGTAAATTCTCCATTAATGTCTTCACTGCTCACAAAGATATACAAGATTAGACACGAAACACAGGGAGAACATGCAAACACCACTCTGAAAGGCCTTGTTCCGACCGGGATTCGAACTCAGGACCTTCTTTCTGAGAAGCGAGAAGACTCAACCGCTGAGTGCCCAATAACCCTATACTAAATAAAATAATATAAAATGAAATCTCTAACTTTGGCACAATAATGTCGGGCCTCACCAGTTCTGTCCGGAGCCAGGCCAGGGCGCTCTCGATGTCCATGTGGCCCGCTGTCCTGCACTTGTCTCTGGGTGGGACGTCCCGCCACAGCCCCCCGGTGGCCTCGGCTCCAGCCCCAGCCTTGCCCTCAAACTGGGAGCTCCTGCAGGAGAAATCCCGGAGTCTGTTCAGCACCACTTCCATCATCGTGTATCAAGGTGTTAGTGCAGTTAAAATGGCGGCTGTGTGTATGTACTACAGCCCTGTCCGGAATGATCTACTTAGTTTTGAGAATCTCGGGGCAGTTTCTCGGGTTTTAAAGGCCTCCTCGCCCCCCTCCTTTTTGGAAACCGTGGATTGTGAATGAGGCGTGTGGTTGACGTCAGTGCATTGTGCGGATGGCGGCATGACCTCAGCTTGTTTACCACTTTATAGAGGCATTTTTATCACTCAGACACAAACACACACGGCCGTTATGAGGGACGAGACGAGGAGGGGAGGAAGGGGAGGGAGGGGAGGGAGGGGCAGAGCGGTTGCCGATGGAAACGGGATGCAGATTCGAAAACAGAATGGCTAAAACGGGCAAAAGCACCGGTGAATGAAAGTGAAATGCAAATATTTTTGAGTCTAGATCTGTTCCAAAGTTCTATGGCTGGTTTTAGAGGGTCCCCAGAGATAGGATTGGAGCTAGGGTTGCACGATTTAAAAACATATATGAGTTTGATATTTGAACATACCTGGAGCCAATTTCCTTATATGGGCATTTCTTCCACAGCACTAGAGGCAGATGTGTTGCTAAGACGGTTGCTAAGGCAAGCTGGAGTTTCCTTTCCTTTGATTGGTCAATATATTTATATTTAAAATGACAATATTAAAAGAGTTACCAAGCGCCAATCAGGAGCTCCTTACTTGCTAGCATACTCTTTTAAGAGATTTTTTTTTTCTAAGTCCAAAATGGTAATAGTTTAAAAAACTGTTTTTGAGCTAGAGAGGTTTACTTTTCAATGTAAGTCAATAGCAGCAACACTTTGTCTCTGAGCACTTCCCTATTGGGGTTCATCGAGTTTCGGGGGTCAGCAATGTCCATCTGTATACAGTCTACGATGGGAATCCTTACTAAATAACTAAATACAGTGTTTTCTACTAAATACTACATAACCTTTCAGCAGGGGCTTCAGGCAAAGTGGGGGTAAGTGTCTTGCCCAAGGACCAACTCAGCCACTGTCGCCCCTAAATACACTGTGTCTTCTCCTGTCTTCAGTCTTTGTGGCTCGCTCCTCGTGCCCGCTCCTCGTGCCCGCCCTTCTGGCCCCGCCCCTCTGGTCCCGGTCCTTGGCAACAGCCCCTCTGGTCCCGGTCCTTAGCAACAGCCCTGTCCCGGCGCCGCCACAGGATCCTGGGCTGAAAAGACTCAAAAGGCTCAGACTCAAACAGAGACCGAGACCGATGGAGGATATTTTTAGAGTTTGGAGCTAATTAAGAAAACAGACGTCACAGGTTTCTTTGAGGCAGAAGGAGAAATGTGGACGAGAAAATGTGGACACAGCTTTTGTAAAAACTGAACAGATGATGACGTCAGACACGGGCTTTTGCTGCGGCTTTTTCTCATCATTAAATCAATTGAGAACTTTCTAACGTGGGGTTAAGGATGAAAAAAACAATGTTTTGGACTTAGACATTCATCAGACTGAGGCTTGGCTGATGTTCTGTGGCTGAAGGGACAGTTTTTAAGGATACAATTTGTAAATGTATAAAATTGTGCTTGGAACATTCATTATTCATTATTGTGGGCGACAGTAACTCAGTTGGTAGAGCATTGGCCTTTGAGCCTGAAGGTCGTGGGTTCAAGCCCACCTCAAGACCTACTTCACGGCTCCCACTGATGACTGCTGTTGTTGTGTCCTTGGGCAAGACACTTAACCCCACTTTGCCTGAAGCTCCCACTGAAAGATCTCAGCTCCTGTGGACTCAGCTCCTGCAGGAGGATCAATGAGGGGCTGGTGCTCTGTGGACTGGGTGCAGCTCTGACTGCCACCCCCCCGACCCAGAAATGGATTAAGGGGAAGAAAATGGATGGATGGACATTGATTATTAATTAATAATAATTAAACTAATTATTATTACTAATTATTAATAATTACCATGGACTGTAAATCTATGATCTGGTTAGACTTAGATCAGACCAGATCATGGTCTGTACATTTGGGTCATGTGAGAATAAACCAGTCCTGGAGGAGGTCCTGGTCCTGCTTGCTTCTTGGGTTGAAAATAATAATAATAATAATAATAATAACAATGATAATAGTAATAATAATAATAATAATACATCATACTTGTATAGCCCTTTTTCAGACACTCGAAGATGCTTTGCAGAAGAAAAAGTAAAAAATTAACAGTTAAGGCTCGGTCCCCCAAGGTTCGGTACTTTGTTCTGATGGGAGTGAGGAGGTCTGTGGATCTGAGGCGGCGGGAGGTCAGTGATGGAGGAGGAGGTCAGTGATGGAGGAGGTCAGAGATGATGGAGGAGGTCAGTGATGGAGGAGGTCAGAGATGATGGAGGAGGTCAGTGATGGAGGAGGAGGTCAGTGATGGAGGAGGTCAGAGATGATGGAGGAGGTCAGTGATGGAGGAGGAGGTCAGTGATGGAGGAGGTCAGAGATGATGGAGGAGGTCAGTGATGGAGGAGGAGGTCAGTGATGATGGAGGAGGTCAGTGATGATGGAGGAGGTCAGAGATGGGAGGAGGTCAGTGATGATGATGGAGGAGGAGGTCAGTGATGATGATGGAGGAGGTCAGTGATGGAGGAGGAGGTCAGTGATGATGGAGGAGGTCAGTGATGGAGGAGGTCAGTGATGGAGGAGGAGGTCAGTGATGGAGGAGGAGGTCAGTGATGATGGAGGAGGTCAGTGATGGAGGAGGAGGTCAGTGATGGAGGAGGAGGTCAGTGATGATGGAGGAGGTCAGTGATGATGGAGGAGGTCAGTGATGGAGGAGGTCAGTGATGATGGAGGAGGTCAGTGATGGAGGAGGTCAGAGATGATGGAGGAGGTCAGTGATGGAGGAGGAGGTCAGTGATGGAGGAGGAGGTCAGTGATGGAGGAGGTCAGAGATGATGGAGGAGGTCAGTGATGGAGGAGGAGGTCAGTGATGGAGGAGGAGGTCAGTGATGATGGAGGAGGTCAGAGATGGAGGAGGTCAGTGATGGAGGAGGTCAGTGATGGAGGAGGTCAGTGATGGAGGAGGAGGTCAGTGATGGAGGAGGAGGTCAGTGATGATGGAGGAGGTCAGTGATGATGGAGGAGGAGGTCAGTGATGGAGGAGGTCAGTGATGGAGGAGGAGGTCAGTGTTGGAGGAGGAGGTCAGTGATGGAGGAGGTCAGAGATGATGGAGGAGGTCAGTGATGGAGGAGGAGGTCAGAGATGGAGGAGGTCAGTGATGGAGGAGGTCAGTGATGGAGGAGGAGGTCAGTGATGGAGGAGGAGGTCAGTGATGATGGAGGAGGTCAGTGATGATGGAGGAGGAGGTCAGTGATGGAGGAGGTCAGTGATGGAGGAGGAGGTCAGTGATGGAGGAGGTCAGTGATGATGGAGGAGGTCAGTGATGGAGGAGGTCAGAGATGATGGAGGAGGTCAGTGATGGAGGAGGAGGTCAGTGATGGAGGAGGTCAGAGATGATGGAGGAGGTCAGTGATGGAGGAGGAGGTCAGTGATGGAGGAGTTCAGTGATGATGGAGGAGGTCAGTGATGGAGGAGGTCAGAGATGATGGAGGAGGTCAGTGATGGAGGAGGAGGTCAGTGATGGAGGAGGAGGTCAGTGATGATGGAGGAGGTCAGAGATGGAGGAGGTCAGAGATGATGATGGAGGAGGTCAGAGATGGAGGAGGTCAGTGATGATGATGGAGGAGGAGGTCAGTGATGGAGGAGGAGGTCAGTGATGATGGAGGAGGTCAGTGATGGAGGTCAGTGATGGAGGAGGAGGTCAGTGATGATGGAGGAGGTCAGTGATGGAGGTCAGTGATGGAGGAGGAGGTCAGTGATGGAGGAGGAGGTCAGTGATGATGGAGGAGGTCAGTGATGGAGGTCAGTGATGGAGGAGGAGGTCAGTGATGGAGGAGGAGGTCAGTGATGATGGAGGAGGTCAGTGATGATGGAGGAGGTCAGTGATGGAGGAGGTCAGTGATGATGGAGGAGGTCAGAGATGATGGAGGAGGTCAGTGATGGAGGAGGAGGTCAGTGATGGAGGAGGAGGTCAGTGATGGAGGAGGAGGTCAGTGATGGAGGAGGTCAGAGATGATGGAGGAGGTCAGTGATGGAGGAGGAGGTCAGTGATGGAGGAGGAGGTCAGTGATGATGGAGGAGGTCAGTGATGATGGAGGAGGTCAGAGATGGAGGAGGTCAGTGATGGAGGAGGTCAGTGATGGAGGAGGTCAGTGATGGAGGAGGAGGTCAGTGATGGAGGAGGAGGTCAGTGATGATGGAGGAGGTCAGTGATGATGGAGGAGGAGGTCAGTGATGGAGGAGGTCAGTGATGGAGGAGGAGGTCAGTGATGGAGGAGGAGGTCAGTGATGGAGGAGGTCAGAGATGATGGAGGAGGTCAGTGATGGAGGAGGAGGTCAGTGATGGAGGAGGAGGTCAGTGATGATGGAGGTCAGTGATGGTGGAGGAGGTCAGTGATGGAGGAGGTCAGTGATGATGGAGGAGGTCAGTGATGGAGGAGGTCAGAGATGATGGAGGAGGTCAGTGATGGAGGAGGAGGTCAGTGATGGAGGAGGAGGTCAGTGATGATGGAGGAGGTCAGTGATGATGGAGGAGGTCAGTGATGATGGAGGAGGTCAGTGATGATGGAGGAGGTCAGTGATGGAGGAGGAGGTCAGTGATGGAGGAGGTCAGAGATGGAGGAGGAGGTCAGAGATGATGGAGGAGGTCAGTGATGGAGGAGGAGGTCAGTGATGGAGGAGGTCAGAGATGATGGAGGAGGAGGTCAGTGATGGAGGAGGAGGTCAGTGATGATGGAGGAGGTCAGTGATGGAGGAGGAGGTCAGTGATGGAGGAGGTCAGAGATGGAGGAGGAGGTCAAAGATGATGGAGGAGGTCAGTGATGGAGGAGGAGGTCAGTGATGGAGGAGGAGGTCAGTGATGATGGAGGAGGTCAGTGATGAAGGAGGAGGTCAGTGATGGAGGAGGTCAGAGATGGAGGAGGAGGTCAGAGATGATAGAGGAGGTCAGTGATGGAGGAGGAGGTCAGTGATGGAGGAGGTCAGAGATGATGGAGGAGGAGGTCAGTGATGGAGGAGGAGATCAGTGATGATGGAGGAGGTCAGTGATGGAGGAGGAGGTCAGTGATGGAGGAGGTCAGAGATGATGGAGGAGGAGGTCAGAGATGATGGAGGAGGAGGTCAGTGATGATGGAGGAGGTCAGTGATGATGGAGGAGGTCAGTGATGGAGGAGGTCAGAGATGATGGAGGAGGTCAGAGATGATGGAGGTCAGTGATGGAGGAGGAGGTCAGTGCTGATGGAGGAGGTCAGTGCTGATGGAGGAGGTCAGTGAGGTAAGAAGGAGCAGTTTATGGAGGGACTTGTAGGTGAAGAGGAGGTGTGGAACAGGAGCCAGTGGAGTTGTTTGAGGACGGGGGTGATGTGGTCTCTGGAGCCGGTGTGGGTGAGTTTCTATGTTTCTTCTATTTTACATTAAACAAAACAAAAGCCTCAGTCCTGGATCTATACTGGAGGAGGCTCTATACTTGAGGAGGCTCTATACTTGAGGAGGCTCTATACTTGAGGAGGCTCTATACTTGAGGAGGCTCTATACTTGAGGAGGATCTATACTTGAGGAGGCTCTATACTTGAGGAGGCTCTATACTTGAGGAGGATCTATACTTGAGGAGGATCTATACTTGAGGAGGCTCTATACTTGAGGAGGATCTATACTTGAGGAGGCTCTATACTTGAGGAGGATCTATACTTGAGGAGGCTCTATACTTGAGGAGGATCTATACTTGAGGAGGATCTATACTTGAGGAGGCTCTATACTTGAGGAGGCTCTATATTTGAGGAGGCTCTATACTTGAGGAGGCTCTATACTTGAGGAGGCTCTATACTTGAGGAGGCTCTATACTTGAGGAGGCTCTATACTTGAGGAGGATCTATACTTGAGGAGGCTCTATACTTGAGGAGGCTCTATACTTGAGGAGGATCTATACTTGAGGAGGATCTATACTTGAGGAGGCTCTATACTTGAGGAGGATCTATACTTGAGGAGGCTCTATACTTGAGGAGGATCTATACTTGAGGAGGATCTATACTTGAGGAGGCTCTATACTTGAGGAGGATCTATACTTGAGGAGGATCTATACTTGAGGAGGCTCTATACTTGAGGAGGCTCTATAATTGAGGAGGCTCTATACTTGAGGAGGATCTATACTTGAGGAGGCTCTATATTTGAGGAGGCTCTATACTTGAGGAGGATCTATACTTGAGGAGGTTCTATACTTGAGGAGGATCTATACTTGAGGAGGCTCTATACTTGAGGAGGCTCTATACTGGAGGAGGCTCTATACTTGAGGAGGATCTATACTTGAGGAGGATCTATACTTGAGGAGGATCTATACTTGAGGAGGCTCTATACTTGAGGAGGCTCTATATTTGAGGAGGCTCTATACTTGAGGAGGATCTATACTTGAGGAGGCTCTATATTTGAGGAGGCTCTATACTTGAGGAGGATCTATACTTGAGGAGGTTCTATACTTGAGGAGGATCTATACTTGAGGAGGCTCTATACTTGAGGAGGCTCTATACTGGAGGAGGCTCTATACTTGAGGAGGATCTATACTTGAGGAGGATCTATACTTGAGGAGGATCTATACTTGAGGAGGATCTATACTTGAGGAGGCTCTATACTTGAGGAGAATCTATACTTGAGGAGGCTCTATACTTGAGGAGGATCTATACTTGAGGAGGATCTATACTTGAGGAGGATCTATACTTGAGGAGGTTCTATACTTGAGGAGGATCTATACTTGAGGAGGCTCTATACTTGAGGAGGATCTATACTGGAGGAGGCTCTATACTTGAGGAGGATCTATACTTGAGGAGGCTCTATACTTGAGGAGGATCTATACTTGAGGAGGATCTATACTTGAGGAGGCCCGCTCTCAATGTGGCCTCCTTAAAGTTTCTCCCTTTTTTCCCTCTGGTTTTGAGTTTCTTGCCGATGCAGGAGGGTCAGTGATGATCCAGGTTTATGGACATTAATAAACAGGGTTTGTCCAGCTCCCTATTATTGCTATTTTTATTTAACCTTCATTTAACCAGGAAAGTCCCATTCAGATTAAGAACCAATAATTACAGATTATAAAACAGTTACATACAATTACAGAAATTACAGTAAAGGAAAGCATTTACTGTGATCAAACTGTTTATCTGATCTGTTGTTGGACAAAGCTGCTGTTGTGATTAGGGCTACACAAAAACACAATGCATTGAAATTAAAGTTGAAGAAAATACATAGTTCCCACATGACGTCACTACATACGGGGATTTGCCGACCCGGCGCCATTTGTCTTGGCATTCTGTGGGCAAAACAATAGAAAAAGAAGCTGAAACGTGTTAATGTCGTGATAAAGTTGAAAATGGTCATCTCCTGCTGGGTCAATGGATGTTCAAATCGTGCCGGAGGTTCCGTTAAACTTGGATTTTACAGTATACCCATCATTAGACTTCATGAATGTGAGAAGACTAAGCTTTTGTCAGAACAACGACGGAGTTTATGGCTTGCGAAGATAAACAGGCAAGAAACTCCCTCAAAACACGCAAGAATATGCTCGGAGCACTTTGTGTCAGGTGCGTATCGTATCTTATAATGTGTTGACAGACGTAATTTACTCAGTACTAACTTGTGTATGCTGATATCTGGTAACTTGAGAGTTTCATTATTTAGATTACTTTATTATGAGGAGGATCGGTGTCGCGTCCGAGGCTCTCGAGGGCAACGTAAATGTATTAAATAGATAATAATAGTTCTATGGTGGGCTAAAACAATGTTCACAAACAGCATTGCTTCTGTAAAAAGATCTGTGTCATAAAATAAACTGCTCTTTACGCCTGGAAAAATCAGTTGCCCACCATTCACCAAAACATACGGTCAAAAATGCGGAAATAAACAATAACAGCAATCCAGAGTGTCCGTGTGGCATTAGCATTAATTAAATTAATTGTTAATATAATTAAAATAATTAAATGGAGCTCCAAATGGTATTAAATCTAAAGTTTTTGAGAAATGTTTGCATTGCTTGTTAATTTTTGCTGCATAATTAGATCAAATATATAAAACATGTCCGTAGCACGTTAAACTGTGGTGCCATTGTATTAATATACAATTATTTGCTCAAAAGTTGCCCTTTTTTTTCCAATTTGCGTTTGAATATCTACATTTATTCTCATTCTTCTGTTTAATGGAATGCACAAACACAGCAGCGTGCCATCAAAGATGGCGTCTCCGAGGAGGTCATGTGACATTCATTGGTCTGTGGGAACTATGTATAGGTTCGGTTCCTCCGCTTCTTCTGGAGATAGTATCTGTCTACTGCCTAGTTCTCTCATACTGATGCTGCCCTCTGGTGGTCTGAAGTTGAACTGAGTCGAATTATTGAGAAAATCACACAGATCAAGAAGCAGGAGACAAAAAGGAAATCACAAAGAAAGAAATAACTGTTAAATAATAATGTAAATAAGAGGTATTTAGCAAATCAGACTAAAGTTGGACTCTGCACCAAAAACACAAAGTCACTATTTTCTCACAGATAAAAGCACTGATCCTCAAACACCTCTGTCCGATTCCAAACCGGTTTTACGGTTTTGAAAGTTGTGTTTCCAGTGAATGATGAGAAATGTGTTTTTTAAACTTTCAATAAACACAGAATTAACTGAAATACCAACTCTCTTGCTCATTTAACAACACACAGTCACACGCACATTGATACACACACGCACACACACACACACACACACACACACAGATATACAGACACACACAGACATCGCAGACATCCACGTAAATGCAAGCACACACACGCACAGAGATACACACACACACATTCACACGCACAGATCAGAATCACGCACAGGTAGACAGACACACACACACGCACACACACACACACACACACACAATCACATGCACACACACACACACGGGGGTAGCACCAAATTCTGGGCCCCGGGTACAAACAGTCTCAATGGGCCCCCACTACACGTTTCTTATATATAATATATGGTATTGCCTGTTTTTGAACCACCATCACTGGCTAGTAGATGAGCAATTCTTTTCCTTTGTTTATCGGTGAGATTCTCTGGCCATAATCCTGGGTCCTCTGACAATCCCTCATCATTATTACTCTGTCTCTTGGTGTCGTCTCTTTCCTCCTCAATCCTCTCCACATTCTCATCACTTTCGCTTTCCCTTTCATCACTTAATTCAGTTTCTACATCCTCTTCTAATTCTGCCTCTGCCTCTGCTACATGGACACAATACAGACAAAAATGATATAGAATTAGTGTATACAGTAAAACTTATAAAGTAATAACTTACTAACTTATTGAAAACAGTTCAATCAGTGACTGATAAATGCTCACCATGCCTCACTGTCAAACCCTCACTACTAGTGCCTTCATCTGGCCATGATGCTTTTCTTCCTGAAACAGAAATAAAGTAGCTTTAATGGGTTGCAAACAGATACTATATTCCATCATTACAGTGTATAGCTATTACGTATATGCCTGCATGCCTTTATGTGATATGTGTATATGGCTATTCATATAAAATATATAGTATATCTTATCTTATTTGTATGGACCATGAGTAGGTAAGTTACTTATTTGTTATTGTACAAATATACAACAAAATACTTTTTATGGTTCATTATTATCCACCAATTTAGACTTTGTGGCAAAATTCAAATCGATGCAATCTTTTTTGAAATAAGCCTATTCCATTTTCAACTAAACACCTGTGCCTAGCCTTACTCCGCCCACATGAACATTTGAAATTTGTCTGTAAAAATGACACCAGTGGAGAAGAAGGGGGGCTTACAGTTGGGCATGGTCTGGGCTGTGATTGTCAGTTGTCATTTCTGGCTTAAAAGCAATAGTTTACACACCAGAAAGTCTCATTTCACCCTTGTTTACACACTAAGATAATTGTAGAGCTAGAAACCTTTAGACCATTAGACTTATTTACATTATTTTGACCACTAGATTTCACCAAAAAACTCCAAATCGGTGCGGGGCGTGTGATTTGTATGGTTATAACCAGATGATCCAATGCAGAGGCCAGTGAGTGACCCGTGACTTATGACTGCAAGACTCACGGACGGACAGATTATGACAATAGTGGGAATATGTACATGAAAATAACTCTTTGCTGCCTGCCTTTGAAGGAGAAGTGGACAGCAGTGTGTGTGAGCTCCCTTTACAGCTGTGCGTCTGTGTGTGTCACTCTGGATAAAGTTTTTTTTTTACCACGTACACGGCACACTGTTAGCTCTCCGTGAGGTTAGAATACAGAAACAAATGTCTCTGGGTTATCTCCTGATGTGGCCTTAACACGTCTCTATTTACTCACCTCTCGAGTGGAAGAACTGAGTAAGCAATTGCTTGCCCTCATTACACCTTTTCTCCCTGTCCTGTCTTTCTTTTCTTTTCTGAAATCCTGATTTTCCTTTCTTTGGAAAAGACATTTCTATTTTTCCCGCTTCTGCCGCTGCTCAAACAAATCAACTCTT